TTGGGCTTGGGCAACCTGGTCTAGTGGGAGGTGTCCCTGCCCATGGCAGGGGGGTTGGAACTCAATGATCTTCAAGGTCCCTTCCAACCTAAACCATTCCACAATTCTTTGGGAACCGTAAACTCAACCCAATATGGCCCCGAAATACAGTCTTTGGACTGAGAGGGCTCTAAGTTTTTGGTAGGCCAGAAGATGTTTTTCCAGTATAAATCTATAAAAGCCATCTTATGAGGTCTGCATTAACATCTGCTCACCAATCCAGATATGTGGCACCAGCTCCTATCGATTCATCTAAACTAACATCTGAGGTGTTAGTTCACTGGATCTGCAGTGGCAGGAATAATTTGATTAAAATTCTGCTATTACTGACATTGACTGCTGGGTTGAGTTTGTTCATTGTTTACATGGTCCATATCTATTTGTCTATAATTCTGACAAATGACATTATATTAGAAATAATCTCTCCTGTTCTTGACAATGTAGATATCATCACTGTTCCTGAGGATATGGGTATCATTACAGATACCATGCCAATACCTTAGAAATAGAAGTCATGGACATGGATCAAAACATACCGTCCATTATCTCTGATAGCCTGTGCTGCTGAAAGGGGAAAAACCGGGGTGGGGGGAGAAAAAAAAAATAACACACTATTCTCAAAGAAGGGTAGTTAATTAGCAGAAGAAAGATACCACCTCTCGCTGATAAACAGTATATTGTCAGAGTGTTTAGGGGTAAAGGGATTATAAACCAAATGAGGATATTTGTTTCAAGACATGACAAATTCCTACCAAGCAGTAACATTAAATCTAGCCTTAAGTATAACATAAGACAAGGAAACCACAGAATTCTCTGGATCCAAATGTTCTACAGTATCTTCTCGACAGCCAGATAAGCGAACAAATAATAAACCCCTCTCACTACTCCCCATGAAAATCCCCAAACCCTTAGCTCTAGCCAAAGACAGTGAGTAAAACAAGGCCCAAATTCACTGCATTGTACAGGTTCTAATTGGGTAAGGAGAAAAACACATACAAATGTAAGTATATCTACAATATGCAAACAGAATGTAACAGTCCATGCCACACTGCAAGTAGGAAGCCAATCCTGTACAAACATTAAAAATATGTATTTTAAACCCAGCAGGAAGAGAACAGGAAGGCAGAACCTGAAGTCTGAATAACTGTATTAAATACTTGGTACAGCTATTCCACATTATTTCACAGTAAGATCAGCAATTGGTATGTATACACTGATTCACTAGAGATCATACATATTGAGAAATATTTTACTTTCACAAAGACAAAAAAAGTGATTATTACAATGATTCCATTTTGGGTATGTCATTTGTGAAGAAATGGTGAAGACCTATACACAGTGCCAATATCTGTCCTAGCAAAAGTCCCTGGACAAGTACAACTTATACAGAAATATCTCAAAGTTGTTTCTATTCACAACCTATTATCAAGCAGCTAATGACTAAGAGGACGGTTTTAGAGTTTCTATATATGCAAATGCTCCCTGACAAACTGGTAGTTGTTACTGCAACTCCAAGTCCAGTGCTGAAAAGCAATGAACCAGTCTGAGAAAACTCATACATGCAACACTTCTGCTAATGAGGCCAAAGAGGAGGGAAGGAGAGAAAAAAAGACACAACCATAAATCAGTGATAGATTAGGTCCTTTTTTTTATTTTATTTTACTTTAAAAATGAACTAGTGTTTTATTTGATCTTTTATAAAGTACCAAAATACTGGTATGACATAATACATTATGCATTTCCTCAGAAACTTAAGAGGTATCCTGAAAACACAGCTCAGTTCTCAGCCAGAAAAGATCGTTTCCTAACTTGCTATCTGCTGAACTAGTGTGCAGGC